GGCTTATTGTTTTAGATTTGTTCGATATATACAAAAATGTCTCATTTTCGTGATACTGAACGAACTCCAATAATAATGGAAAGAGAAAGAGTCGGAAAGAAGATAGCAACAATTGTAGTAGGTCATCACTGTGCGCCAAGTGCTGTGAGAAAAATATTATCTCGTTACTACAACGTCGTCCGTTTTTTTCTCTTTCCATTATTATTGGAGTTCGTTCAGTATCACGAAAATGAGACATTTTTGTATATGTCGAACAAATCTAAAACAATAAGCCAGTAAAATGGACTGCATATATACATGTGTAGTTTTAACTTATGCTCTATCCATGGATATGTAAATGAAGATATAATAATAAAGGATAGAGGAGAACGAGCTAAAAAAAAAGGCACTGTTTTTGTCCGCGGGAGATTGAATATCTATCCAATATTTGTTTTCATTTGTTTTCTGTTAAGTTTATAGTGCCTCGGTTATTAAAAATAAATAAGTAAACAAATGGCTTTTTAATTCTCACCCGAAAGGTTTCTTCATCTTATTCAACACAACAGAATCAAAAAAGACACGCAGTCTGATATGCAGGTAAAAAATATAATGTGTGCAAAAACAAGTGTCGATTCATCATCATCATCAACATCGTGTTCAAGGCCTCCCAGTGATTTTTATTGGGCTTGTCGAAATGGTGATGTTAAAAAAGTAAAAGAATTACTAAGTAACCGAACATTAAATGACATTAATGTAGAAGAGTCGAATGGATCTACGGCATTACATGCTGCCAGCTACAAGGGTCATTTCGAAATTGTTCAGTTACTGCTTAATGCCGGCGCTAGTCGATCGATAAAAAATAAACACAAGTTTTTTCCGTATGAAGAGGGGAGAACGCCGGAAATTAGAGAACTTTTTTCTCGTACAAATCGTAATCGATTTGGTAATGATGATATTACCAAATTAGAATGGGCTGAAGTAGATTTACAAGCTATCAATCGGCGTTCATGGCTAAAATTAAATTGGACAAAAGACAAAATGTTCAATACAATTGAATGGATGAGCAAAAATTATCTTTGCGAAAAATTACCTGATCTCACTGAACATTCAACAATAGAATATTTTTTCAAACAAGCGGAAACAGAGGATTCAGATTCGGAAGATCGGAGGATCAGAGGACAACCGAAATATTTAATCAAAGCATATACGGCTGAGACCGATTATTATAGAAAATTCAGCATAGATTTTGCATCAGAAGATTTGGATAAAGATTGGACTTCAAGTATGCTGCAGTGGATTGTGGCCACATTCTATAGTCATCCGCTATTAGGTGGATTCAGCTTCCAAGGTCAAACGTATCGAGGAGCGAAAATGAGTGATAGTGACTATAAGCGGTACCACACTCAATACAAAGCTGGTAAGCGCGTTACGGTTATGAATAAGTTATTTTTATCAACATCGAAAGATAGAAAAGTGGCTGAAGAATTTGCTATTGGAGGAAATCTATCAAAACATTCTGTTTTATGTAAATATGAAATACGAAATGATCGCACGGCGCTGGACATAGAGTCAGTATCTGAATATCCCCAAGAGAAAGAAGTGCTGATATTACCTAATGCCACTTTTAAAGTAGTCAAGATCATAGAACATGACAAGAAGAAAGACATGACAAGAAGAAAGACAAATTTGGCTTGAATTATGAATTTCATTTGAGAGAATGCGACCCAGTTTCTAAGAAAATGGCACAACAGTCCAAATCTGAATAGAAAGTTTAAAACTGCTCTGAATTTCTTTTCTTTTCTTTAATTCGCTACTATTTTGACGACTGGACCTTCGCCATCGTCAGCGTGAAACTAGTAGATACTAACACTACACTAAATTCAAACATATAAAAAGCAACAAAAGAGTAAAAGAGAAGTCACATTGTCTATTCGAATAAATTTTGAAACAAAATTCAATATTTAAATATAACGGGTGTCCCAGAATAAATGAGCCTCTCAGTATTTTCCTTGTAACCTGGTTTGGATTTGTTTCCGAGACTGGACAGTCGGAGAAAACGAAAACTTTCCAAACTGAAAAATGATTTCTTGTGTTAACGTTTCGACAGTAAGAAAAACTGAATTAGCCATTTTGTAGCTCTGACCTCGTTCTATCTTTCAGCTACACTTCAAATTCTTCACGTCAAAAGTCACGGTGAAATAATAGTTTTTCTGCCGGCTGTCATGCATTTTTTGTATTAATTTTTTAAAGGACCGGCTGCGAAATCCTGTAGAAATCGATCCCTTCTCAGAATGTTTTAATTTCGACGTAGATCGATACAGACTTCAATTCTATGTAGTTTTTGGAACTTCGAAATGCATTTTTTGGCAAAAAGAAACTAAAATAAATTACTGACGTTTTCGACGCTGAATTTGCATTAATAATTTATTTTCGATAGGAAATAGGAATGGAACCTTTTTTCGAATATGCTAATCAATACAGCTCGACGAGCTGATCGAGACTCTGCGCGAAGGAATGCTTGAAAGTTTAAATAACTGTTACTTTTTATCAAAAAATCACTTTGAATCTAACTTTGTAGAGCTATCTGTTACGGTATTTCGCTTTTTTCTCTACCATTCAAGCTTTAATCAATAGCCATTCGTAGTGATCCAAAACGTTACACATGTTTTATAATTATTTTTCACAACATAATTTATAAAAATCAGTAAGGTGCAAAGAATGCAAAAACAGGGCAGAATCTTTTTTTAAACTTATTATATACTATTCTATAGTGTGTTTTTGAGCTGATCCCGACTATGTAGTTTTTAATTTTTCGAATTCCGTACATTCGATCTTGACGAAACTTTCAATAAATGTTCGGCACAATGAGTTACGGGAATGAAAAAATTTTTTTCTCTTCAAGTCTTACCGTTCCGGAGATCAAGCTCCAAAAAGGACCCTGAAGTACTTCCCAAGATCTTTTAATATACTTCAAGCTGAAGAGTTCGGGTTTGTTTTGTTTTAAGCTAGACACCTAACACAAACGACAAAGCGCTATAAAAAATCTTGGAAAATATTTCACATGTGACTCTTATATAGAGATAACGCTGTATTAATTAAGGGCCCTCCCTCAGAAATTATCTCCGGCACCGTACATCCGATCTTGACGAAACTTTCCGTAAATGTTCGGCACAATGAGTTACTGGAATGAAAAGATTTTTTTGTCTCCAAGTTTTACGGTTTAGGAGTTTTCCAGAGATCAAGGTCCAAAAAGGACCCTGAACGGTGTCCCAAGATTTTTTAATATACATCAAGCTCGAGAGTTCGGGTTTGTTTTATTTTAAACTAGACACCTAACTGCATCGACTGACCAGCACCGATTTTTCAATTGAGCCTTTATTGGTTTTCCAGGCAACCAACAACCTGCGAAATCCGAAAAAGCCTTCCGGATTTTCTAAAAATCCTCAGTTTGAGAAAAAATTAAAACCTAATTCAAAAATCGACGACGGCCAGTCGATGTAGTTTCTTTTCCTCTTTTAAACAAAAAAAGAATGAACTCTCTACGACAAACCGCTATTAAAAATCTTGGGACGCACTTCAGGTGTAACTCTTACATAGCGAAAACGCTGTGTTAAACGCTGTATGAAATAGTCGATTTTACGATTTATAGGAAAATGCCTGTAACTTTTCGATGCAAGGTCATACAGAGTTGTACGAGGTCTTATTTTGATCAGAAACGTCTGCTCTACAAAGCTGTGTTTTCAGAAAAATTTTAATCGCATAGGTATCCAGAGAAAATTATTATTCGAAGATCTGGTTTTTCGAGGCTCCTAGAAAACTTACTCAGAATCCGCAAAAAACCACTTTTGTAACCAAAAGCGATACAGATTCTGAAAGTAGACACTTTAGGTTATCTTTCCATGTGCGTATCTCAAAATCGATTTTTTGACCTAAAATTTCAGAGGGGAGGGAAGCCCTTATGGCAGTGAATGTAAATAAATCAAGCGCATTTGACTACAGTATTACAATTGACGTTTTTATTTGCTATGGCTAAATAATTGTCCGTGATCTATCCGTGTATTAATTTATGCTTTGTAGATTCCATTTCGCAATTAGCATCGTGACAGTCCTCTATAAACAAAATATAAATTTTATGCATTCTTAATATTAAAAAAGAATTCGCACAAGTACCACGTCACTTCTAGAAAGTATCTCGATCTGCTTCTAAGTGGTGTAGTTCATGTTATAGCAAGACAAAGAAAATAAAAAAATGACTCCGCGGCGGGGAATCGAACCCCGGTTTCCCGCGTGACAGGCGGGGATACTAACCACTATACTACCGCGGACACATTTCCTCT